CTGGCTCAGAAAGAATGCGTTATTTAGTCACTGGATCCAACGGGTGGCCGAACATTTGCAGAATGTGTTTCCAGATCATCACCACACGAATCGAGGACTTTGGCAGCAGTACCTTCCCCATGCTTTAACACTTGTGCATGAAAATGAATTTGTTATACAAGAGGAAAATTACCTCGATCTAACTGAAAAGATTGCAGATTGCCTTTTCATTGACGGAAGGTATCAAGAAGCAGAGGTACTTTACAGGAAGCTGATGACAATCTATCAGGAGAAAGCTGGCCCTCAAGGTCGCTCCACTCTGAGAAGCATGGCGAACCTAGCATCAACCTACCGGAATCAGGGTCGATGGAATGAAGCTGAGAAGCTGGAGGTGCAAGTAATGGAGGCATCCAAAATAGTGCTGGGAGCTGAGCATCCATCCACTCTGACCAGCATGGCGAATTTGGCATCAACCTACCGGAATCAAGGTCGATGGAATGAAGCTGAGAAGCTGGAGGTGCAAGTAATGGAGACAAGGAAGACAGTGCAGGGTGCTGAGCATCCATCCACTCTAACTAGCATAGCGAACCTAGCATCAACCTACCGGAATCAAGGTCGATGGAATGAAGCTGAGAAGCTGGAGGTGCAAGTAATGGAGACAAGGAAGACAGTGCAGGGCGCTGAGCATCCTGACACTCTGACTAGCATAGCGAACCTGGCATCAACCTACCGGAATCAAGGTCGATGGAATGAAGCTGAGAAGCTGGAGGTGCAAGTAATGGAGACATCTAAGACAGTGCAGGGCGCTGAGCATCCTGACACTCTAACCAGCATGGCGAACCTGGCATCAACCTACCGGAATCAAGGTCGATGGAATGAAGCTGAGAAGCTGGAGGTACAAGTAATGGAGACAAGGAAGACAGTGCAGGGCGCTGAGCATCCATCCACTCTGACCAGTATGGCGAACCTGGCATCAACCTACTGGAATCAAGGTCGATGGAATGAAGCTGAGAAGCTGGATGTTCAAGTAATGGAGACAAGGAAGACAGTGCTGGGAGCTGAGCATCCATCCACTCTAACCAGCATGGCGAACCTGGCATCAACTTACTGGAATCAGGGTCGATGGAATGAAGCTGAGAAGCTGGAGGTGCAAGTAATGGAGACATCCAAGATAGTGCTGGGAGCTGAGCATCCATCCACTCTAACCAGCATGGCGAACCTGGCATCAACCTACCGGAATCAAGGTCGATGGAATGAAGCTGAGAAGCTGGAGGTGCAAGTAATAGAAACATCCAAGACAGTGCTGGGAGCTAAGCATCCTGACACTCTGACCAGTATGGCGAACCTGGCATCAACCTACCGGAATCAAGGTCGATGGAATGAAGCTGAGAAGCTGGAGGTGCAAGTAATGGAGACATCCAAGACAATGCTGGGAGCTGAGCATCCTGACACTCTGACCAGCATGGCGAACCTGGCATCAACCTACCGGTATCAAGGTCGATGGAATGAAGCTGAGAAGCTAGATGTGCAAGTAATGGAGACATCTAAGATAGTGCAGGGCGCTGAGCATCCTGACACTCTGACTAGCATGGCGAACCTGGCATCAACCTACCGGAATCAAGGTCGATGGAATGAAGCTGAGAAGCTGGAGGTGCAAGTAATGGAGACATCCAAGACAGTGCTGGGAGCTGAGCATCCCGACACTCTGGCCAGGATGAATAACCTTGCCTTGACTTGGAAATCACAAGGAAAGCTTCAAAATGCCTTGGCTCTGATGAAACAATGCTCTGACCTGCGCAACAGAGTGTTAGGACCTAGCCACCCGCATTCCAAGTCATCCTCTCGTGCTCTCAGTGATTGGATGGTTGAGTATAATGCATGAACAGATCACACATTGCTCACTCAAAAAAAGTCCGCAGACTCGACGGGAAGTTTCAGCAGGACCTCCGGCAGCTGTGTTAACTACCTCGTTGACCTATAATGCGCACATCAATCTACCTTATACCAAAAGACAGTCAGCTGCTCAATTATTCCTTAGCAATCATCCTCTTATCATTGCTGGCAGAATACTCGTCCGTGCCCGAAGTCTAAGGCTTACAAGATGTAATTAAATTGGACTGACATATTGTGTACTATTCGGCTGGAGAAAAGATGAGTTGTGTTACTGTATGTATAAAACCTGTTGGATTGTACGTAACAATCTCTAACGGTATATATCAGCGTATCAAATTATGTATGCAAAAGTATGGAATCCTTGATCCCCTTGTTGTTCTTGTTTTTTTGTCTCTAAGTACAGTCAAGGTGGAAGATATCTTTTACCCGGTGGATCAGTGTATGGCTCGCTATTATTGGCTGACAAATCTCTTCTGTCTGATTGGTTGAATTAGCTTAGCTAATCCAACATAACGTAATCGGACACCCACCCGATCATGACACCCACCCGATCACTTTCTCCGGAAAACGCGCTCTATACGAATTTCAAACTTGAATTTCTCACCCACATACAAAATAAATACAATATTTTAACTAGTAGTACGATTTGGACATCGATTAATTTTATGCCCGATAATTCCACACCCACTGCACTTCGGTGGCGCTCGTAGGCGTGGTTGAGAGGTTTGGGGTTCGGATTCGACTGGTGCAGTCGGGATAGGTTGAGATGCCTCATTCCGACTGCCTATTAGCTCCTGAGCTTCCTGCGCTGTAAGAGATCCTTCATGAGATATCTGAGCTCTAGACCTTTTACGTTTTTTCTTTTCCTTCTCATTTGCGGCTCGTAAATCATGCACCTCTTTCTGTATAATCAGAAGCTCATTCCTGCTCATTTCGTATGCTTTGGACAGTCGGTTTATCGCTTGATCGACCACCTCAAATGGACCTATTGTACGATCATTAATACGCTTCTTTATTGTTGCCGTCTGACGGTTGAATTGACGTGGATTTTGAGGTGTTTGCTGGCAAGAAGATTGTGAATTACTTGATCGACTAGGAGGGGGTGTCGGGGTCCGAAGTTGAACTGTAAGCTTTTCATAAACATGATCTGGATTATATGGCACTAATCCAGTAGCTTTGAAGCCATTCTGAACATTTTCAGCTTTATATGCCATTGCACGAGGCTCTGGAAAAGCCGTAAGAAAGTCATATTTATCAATATGATTGAACCCAAGCCGTACACGTTGCTCAACAAGCCGTCCATATT